AGCCCAAAACTTTAATTATGCACCAAAAAGGTTATTTCAATTTTGAATGTAACTCAGTAAAACCTCGTGACATGCCCAGAAAAGGATACCCACATGGAAAGAGTTAAACAAACAGTGGACTGAATTGCTATGTGTAAGAAAGTCACAGTAACCCCATGTACACAAGTATTATTCCATGGTTTACTACAAAGTAAGTCAAAGTCTAGTACTATGGTGTACTGGTGCTATGTAATGTAGTTATAGAGCCCACTCATGAAACAGAGCTATTTCCTGTCCATAAAGCAAATAGCATTAACTCAGTTATCTGTCTAAGAAGGGATGAAGTCCTGAGGTTGTTATGTAATTATGGATGAGTGATAACCAACTTCAAAATGAAATAACTGAGGATTGATCATTCTAACCATGTCTGAAAGTAAGTACCTGGTTACCAATACATCTGAGACTTCTAGCTGAAAATTTGAAGAAAATCTAGAATCAATGCAGCAGCAACTAATTATATATATAAAGATGACAAATATACAATTAAACAACTGCCAGTCAGGCTTCCCTGTAGTACTAGAGATGTAGAACATGTTGAGGTACAGCAGATGTTAAAGTAAGGGATCATACAGCCTTCACAGAGTGTTTTGGTCATCTCCAATAGTGATTGTCAGAAAGATGAAAGGCACATTATAGACTTGTGAACATGGTAACTTGCATTGAAATTTTCCACTAATGCGAACAGATGAATGTCTGGATGCATTGGAAGGTGTACAATGGGTCAATACATTAGATCCAACATCCAGATAATAGCAAGTCAAGTTGGATGACAAGAGCAGACCAAAGACTGCTTTCAGCATGAGTGATGGCTTGTATGAGTTTCACATCATGCCATTCAGACTGTGAAATGCATCTGCCACTTTTGATAGGCTAATGGAGCTTACACTGAATGGTTTAAAATGGGAGAATTGCATGTCAGATTTTTGTAGAAAATGTTTTGATATTTGGTCGCACTTTCGTGCCTATGGCTGAGAACCTGAAAATGGTATTCCAGTAGATAAAAAGGGTAGGCTTGAAAACAAAACTAATGAAATGTGTGTTCAGACACACAGAATTTTAACTTTTTGTAAGTTTTAACATTTTAACATGTTGTGAGTAGAGATGGAATCTCCAAACATTGTGTTAAAATAGCAGTTGTGCAAGATTGGCTTCAGCCTATGACCAAGTGAGAGCTCTGTGGCTTTCTCAGTTTTATATACTAATACCAATACAGATCACCACATTATTATTGGCTCTCACTAAAATTGAGACACACTTCAGATCGAGTGAAGAATATGAACATGCATTCAAGTCCCTGAAGTATGCTTTAGTAGAAGCCCCAGTGCTGGTGTAATCCCCAACAAAACTGAGTTCTTGTAAGATACTGTGATACTGCAATAAGAGCAGAGTTGTTGCACTTGCAGGTCAGAGTAGAATGTGTAATTCTGTATGCTAGTCATATGTTCACAGCTTCTAAATGCAGATACCGAACAATGAAGAAAGGACTGCTTGTAGTTGTAGTATTCATGAAACATTATTGACACTACTTGAATGGTGGAAAGTTTACTATTCAAATGAACCAAGTGCCCCTGAAATGGTTGATGATCTTTAAATATACAAAAAAGATGGCAGCATGTTGTATAAAAGCATTACTAGAGTATGACTTAGTCATACAATATTGCCTGGACCCACAACATGAAAATGCTGACAGATTGGCTTGTTCGATGGAGAGACCCAGTCCATTCATGGAAATCATGTGGAAGTTGAAACCACTTTTTTCCATAATGATGATAAGCCACAGAGTAGGATATTCCACAAACTGATGGATACCATGGCTAACAGTTTGGAAGCTCTGCAAAAAGAAATTAAATAACGTAGATCTAGCATAGGTGCTCCTAGTCATGCATCAAAGTAAAGCCCAACAAGTTTATATTGAGGAACTTACCATATATACACACATAACCTATGGTACTTATCTGAGTAGTTACAAGTGCACAAATGTGTGTTGTACCATCTATACCAAACACTGAACCATGATTCTCAGCCTGTGTTGCAACTAGTAGTCTCCAGAGCTTTGAAGCACAAAATATTGCAGACTTCAGATGACACGAAGACTGGCAGTATCTAAGGTGTTACCTGCATTGGTGTTAATGCTCAAAGATGATAATATTGTTCATATTCAAGTTACTCAAGTTAAAGCATTCAGTAATGGTGTTATTACTATATGGTGTGTTTCACCCAGAAAAAGAGTTACCATAAACAGGGTAAACTCCAGCAGAGAATTTTTGGTTTTCCCCTACAATAAATAGCCATGTATACTATTGGTCCATTTCCAGAGATGAAACAACATTACCTGTATATACTCATGGACATTGGCTACTTCACAAAGTGGGTTGAGGGTCAACCATTGGTTGATATGGTGGCACAGTGGTTGTAAGTATTGGCAGAGCACTAGATAACCTGGTTTGGAGTCTGAAGATACCTATATGTTTCAAGGAACTAATTTTCCCAGCTAACTGCTCTCCAAGTTGTGCAAAGTTTTTGGTGTGTTGGAAATGTGCATTTTGTCTTATCATCCCCAGTCTGATGGTTTAGTAAAGTGGGTAATACAGACTCTGGAGTGAATGCTTGCAAAGTTACTTAATCCTGAACAAACTGACTGAGGAGATTAACAGGCTGTTTGTCAAACATGCTCATGTTTGGACAAAAAGTCTTGAATGATCCTCCTTCAAGATAGGATGTCCTACACTGTTCACAAAAATATGTGTAGTGGTTATGGTCTGCACTATTTAATTATTTGTCAAGAGCTAGACAAGGCTACCATATGAGAGAAGAGGTGTTAATATAAGAAAGTGAACAAATGTACCACCATGAAGACTGCATGTATCTTTGGTACTCGCCAGCAGCAGGAATGCTGCTTGGTTCTGACTGAACAGAGCTTCATCTTGTGCTTTGAAGAGTAAGTCCATTAAAATAAGAATTATAGACAGATAGTTACTGAGAGCTGCATTGAGAGGATGGTTTGTTGATTTTTAGCGCAGCTGAATCAAAAGGTCTTTACAGCCTTTCTTTCTGAGCTATTGAGCAGTGTTTCTGTATGATACCACTTTATCTAGCCAAATAATAGCAGTTCTATGGTGAATATCATCTAAATTTAGGTAATACATATAGAGAATATGACTTCTACACGTACAGTGTGGAAGTTGCGTCTCCTGTAAGTGTATACTGAAATGTAATGTAGTAGCAGCAGCAAGAGTATTAATCATCACTTAGGAGAACTGTAGTTGAAAATTCTTAGTTTGTCTGAATTCTGTCTGTGATTATTTATTTTGTAATGCCTGAAAAGAAAAACATGATGACTTTGATAGTTCTTAGTTGGCAACACATTACATAACCAAAACTACCAAGCTGCAGCTTTGGAAATTAATCCAAGAAGGTCACTGAAGTAATTTGCACAACAGCTGGAGATGGTTTGTTTTAAGCTGTTAGTGTATGGGACAATGTGTAATGAAAATATATGCAATGGCAATATATGTGTATAAATAAAAAATAGAGGTGTAGTCTTACATGTGTGCATGAACATCATATGGAGTCATTCATGAGTGTTGTATGACACAAATGGATCCATTACACAAAGAACAACTATTAAACAACATATGAATGGAAATAAAGGATTTGATTTGGATGTTAAGACCTTGTAATTTGAAGTTAGCTGTGCACATTCTTTTTATTAATACTTGTGGTAGAATGGTTAAATTTTGAGTTGAAATATTCAGCAGGTAGTGAATTTTCATGGAAGAATAAAGAGTAACAATAGGACACATTTTTGGTTTGAGAGAAAACTCAGTTCTAACTATTGTTTTTTGGTAATAATAGTGCAAAATATGTTGAATGGATTGAAATATTTATAAGTGGATAAATTTATCACTAGTGAATGAAATTCCAAATAAGTAGCTTAAACATTTTGAAAACTGTAAAACTGTTGTATGTAGTGTTTTATTTGGCTATAATGGAATATATTCAGAGTTGCAGACTGTAATGTTTTATAAGTAAATACTTTTCTAAAAATTCAGCATAAGGTGCTGTTAAAATGCATGCTATAAGTGTACTGCTGGAGATGGAGGGCAGAAAGTTAAAACTGCATGGTGAAACTTTGAAAATTGCACCTATTTAGTACTAAACTAGTAGCTGGAAGAAGGGTGCAAGGGAGAAATGATGAAAGCATAAGTAGATCCTAACAGTCAGAAGTATAGGTTGATAACTGCCATTCTGGGTCAGCTCATATTTGTAGGTACTAGTTTTATGGTCTTGTCCTCTTCTTTTTCTACTGCATATGAGCTCTGTTTACATAACAACCACACGGTAGTGGAAGGAATGGTTCTGAGTCGAAGGTTAAGCTGAGTTGGCTGTCATCATAAGAATGGTAACAGAGGACAGCACAGCTATAGGTATTGACAAAGCAGAGACCCAATGAAGCCTGAGAATTGAAAAATTCACAGGGGTTAAAGATACATTTTGTATAAGCAACTAGACTGTGATTAAAATACGTTTTAGAGAAAGGCATGGTTCTTACTAGACAGTTATGACCCTCTTCTCTTTCACACTCCACATCTAGTTGATCTTCTGACCAATTCATCTGATCTTACATTTTTAATCTGGAATTTTGCTATTTAAGATCAAACTCTTGATCCTTATGGTTATCTTATTCCTCAGCTTGTCTGTAGTGATTTCTAATCTACTTCTGCTTAAACCTTTATGCTCTTCTAATGCTGCCCTAAGAAGTAATTACAACAAAACTCAATATGCTAAGGATTTCCTGTTTAGAGAAAATTTGAACTTTGCCAATTACCCAAAGACTACTGCAGCCAGCCAGATATTCATCCCAGTTGAACCCATGGTTGAATGTTTTACAGTTTTACCACTAACTCAGACTACAGTAAGTTTTGTCCAATACTCAATGTAATATAGATGTAAAACTTTACCTTTGATCCATTAGTGCTTCCAGGAAGGTTTAGTATAAGAGTTTTACCACGAATTCCACAAATAAGCCTGTTGAAATAAGAAAACAATCAATTATATTTCCACAAAAAGTCTTTAAGAACATAATAAAAAATTATATGTATTAAAACTACCATATCATACAAATGGAAAAGAAAAATCCTTTTTCTTTGTACAGTTGTATGATCCACCATTATGTACATTCAAGTTAGGTATAATTCTAATTTCTAATACTGTAAGCTTAAATAATGTAGCTATATTCTGTAATAGTTCACAGTGAAAGTTATGATTTAGATAGTTATGTAGCACTAGTGTTAAATTCAGTTATTTTTAGAAGTGATAGTTTATTGCAAGCTTGTTTATGTAACTATTTATGAATCATACATTCTGTATTTCAACAGTTATGAATTGATGGTTGTTATATTATTGCATCATGTTACTAGAACCTTCTCATTGTTCTGATTAAGTATTATTGCACATAATAAGTGTGTGGCAAGCTCTAGACCTCTGTCGGGGTATAAACACATGTAGAAAATTTAATTTAAAAGATAGATCTAGACTGAGTGATTGGGAGTTTAGCGATAAACAGCGTATAGTGATAATGTTTAAAGTGAAATTATCACAGATTGTATTGTAATAACAGAGCAGAAGGGAATAATTTGTCTTGTCAATTGGGTTCTAAAGTAACTGAACCAGTCTGTGTGGACTTTTGACGAGAAAGAGAGAATTATTTAAAACATTAGATACAACCATGGTAACCAACAGTGTAGTAAACATTTGTATGTGTGTTTAATTTGTTTTAACGTATTATTTTAAAAGAAGTGAACTGTGTGCTATTGTTTATTCTTGAAATTTATTGCCAACAAGTCACAGACGCCTACTGTAAAGAATCCATCCTATATATACATAAAAATGTACAATACACTTAAGCAACACACTGATCTACAGGGTTAAGAATGTTACATTAAACTAATTTGAATACCCACATCAGCAAACCACATGACAACCATGTGGTGGAATGAGACATATCAGTATATTTCAACATTGTCTGACATTTTGTAGGTAATGCAATGCCACTGAAAAGTGACTGCATTTTGTAAACCTCCTTTCTGATGCAAAATATTCATACACTCACATCATAAAGATGTTCAGGTTGGGGATTTTGAATTTCCAAGTTGAAGATATCCCTTTTACTTATTGGCATTGGAAAACAAAGGAATATGGATCAACGTGAGGCACAAGGGTCATCCAGAAAGAGATTTCCAACAAGTTATACCCCAGTCATGGAGAGCAAAGTGTAGTCTTGTAACAGGTGAGAATCCACAAACACAAAGGTCACTGGTAAAAGCCATCTACATGTCCCAGACAATAGTATGCAATATAATCTAGAAGGTTCTCCATGTGGAAAAGTGACACAAGTCACACATACAATAGTTGATTCCACAACATATCTCTTCATTCGTTGCAAGCCTCAAGTAACTGGAGAATGAAATTGATATACATAATATTCTATACGAAGACATACTTGTCAAATCAGTGCACGCATTGCCATGGGATTTCTAAGCAATTGGAATATTGAGATGGGCACTGCAAAACTGTTGTTCTTTTACACAAGATGGTATACAGACATTCAGGAGAGAAGGGTTGTGTTCTTTCAACATGACAGCCTAATGATGGAACATTTTGCAAAAGAAACTATATAACAGAGCTATTTTCAAGATGCATGGTCATTAGATAGTGTGGTATATTCCAGTGAAACTGAATTAACTTTTAGAGTTACACCAGATAGGTCCACTAGATAATAGAAGATTTGATCAAGATATGGCAATTACAGAGTAACACTGCACTCCTTAATGAATAAAATCAACATAAAATGAAATAACAAGACTGAACATGAAGTGGGAAAAATGCACTATCATTATTAGTATGATGATGAAACACAGAAACAGTGTGTGTACTTGCTGTTTACTTACACAGAATTATTGTTTTTACTGACTCTTCTCTTCCAACCATTCAAGCTGAAACCATGAATTAAACTGGTTCTTAATTGGCAAAAAAACTTGCATTTACCCAAACCAACATGTAATACCCATGTGACTGGTCATTCTTATTACAACATTGGTGTGGTTGTAGCCTGTAGACTTCACCTGAACAACCATTAAAGGACACTCCTGTCAATATCCTTACATATGATGTTGTACTAAACAATGTTCTCTCCAAGCAGTAACAGGTATTAACTACTTCTGAGAATAAAAGGAATAAAGATAACATGCAACAAGATCAACTTAACAATATTGTAAACCACATACTATGTGAAATCTGCACATATTCAGAACAAAGAATGAATTCAGAGTTATATTCATGTATTAACAGAGTATGACTGGACATAGCAACATAGCCTGTAATGGCATAGTGAAACTCCAAAATAGTTTTAATATGAGATACTCAACCTTTGTATTATCTATCAGTCTACGAGCTATTTATTCACAATTAAATTCTCTAACATTTTGGCCATAAAGTTTAACAAAAGAAAAACAACCTTTACACTCTAGATAATAATATAAAAATTTTTTGTTTCAGCCAATACTTCTCCACTTTAGCTTAATCAGGGAGAATAGTATAAAACTACTAGTCTGATGAAGCTGCAATGGCAAAAAGTTGGCTGAAATAAAAAATATTTTTTATTATTCTCTGGAGAGTAAAAGTTGTTTTTATCTAACTTTATTGCCAAAATATTTAAATCCCTCCAGTTAGAACTACAAATTTTGAAAAATTCTCTAACAGTCTACAAGCATATTTTATGTACAGTTCTATTCTGTAATAGTTCACAAGTTAATGTCATGCATGGATCTATTCTATTCACAAGTAAAATTCATGTTCTCTTCTGTTCTTTTGCAGTTCCCAAGCTGGATTCATGTAAATTATATTTACTACAATTTCTCAAGTTGGAGTAATGTTCTATTCTACTTTTTAACAGCCCACAATGTAATTATGTAGTATTCTATGCTGTTCAACAAAAAGTAAGTCATTGCTAGTCCCTACCAAATGCTTGTTGTCAGATTATTAACAGTCCTTCACACTTGATGATCACCATCACAATGACACTCAAAAGCACCCATAAAATGAGTTTTGCAGGGGCTTGTTAGAGCCCCTGTCAAATCTGTCATCACGTCTGCTATATTGGGCCTATATTGGATCTTTCATTCTTACCAATGAATAAATACTTTTAAATTCAGATCCAGTTATTATTTGTCAAAGTATAGACCATACCATCAGCTATTGTATATACAAACAAGCTCACAGATAATTTTGTATGACCTTGTTGATGGTTATTACTCCCATACTTTAATTTTAGTTGGTCTAAACTAGCAATGTTATTTATCGTGACCCAAGTTCCTTGGATGAACTACTTTTTGCACGCCACAAGGGTTGCCATTCTGATGAGAGGTTTTTATAGTTCAGTGAGATACTGTGAACATGTCTCAGTTTAGTACCTGGCCAGCAAACTGCTGTTTTGCTGATAAAAAAAAAACAGTACAGTTCAGTTAGTACAAATTTACTTTTAGTGTTCAATTTTGTAAACAAAGAATCAGCTTTCAGTTTGCTGCCTCCATGGACTATTTGGAAAGGGCAGTTTACAGTTCTTGTGTATTTTTCAAACACAACGGCATTCCATTGGAACTATTTTGGAAAAATTATATATATATATATATATATATATATATA